GGCGGGTTTGAACTGCCTACCTTGTGGTTAGCAGCCCAATGCCTTAACCACAGCTCCACCAGAGCGCATTTCATTTGTACTTCAGTAGAGAGCAAATAAGTAAGTAGCCTAGAAGACTCCTTTGAACTCATAAAAATACATAGATAATTCTTCACAAGAAAGAATGAGGGTCACATATTGTAAACTGCTCCCTCATTCTACGAAGACTTTATCAGTCTAACTGACTAATTAAAGTCTATGAATCAAGAAACTATAGTTGATTTCACCATAAACTATATTCTACTAGCATATAAAGTCACATATTAGGTGTCACTCTCAACAGTTATCCTTTTCTGTTATGTAGCCTCTCTACCAGTTTAAAAATACAAAAACTAATTTGATGTCCACAATTTTGGGCCATGTGCTCTTTTCTGGATCATTTTCCTTATAATGTTGTTCAAAGCACAATTTGAAATAGTGACAAATTCTCCCTTCTAACTTATTTTTAGCTTCTTTCTTCTTATGTCTTAAAGTATCAGCCCACAGCACTTGATGGAAGGGGTCAGAAACATTATGCTTTTAAATGACTAATATTTCATTATGGTAGCATATCACTTGTTTCTTATAATGATCCTATTATAATCTGCCATAGAAAGATTTTCATTAAATTTACATCTCTCAATACAATTAGACTACTAAAAAATTCTCTATTAAGATTCAAGTAATAATATTAAACATCATATTCACATTTCTACAGTTCTACTTGACTCCAAACTTTAAAATTTAATTAGGTTTCAAGCCTTCAAATCTTGAGAAGCCCATTGTTGTACTTGAAAGCTACATGGAGATCTCCACCATTTACATAATAAAGCAACTAAATATATCAATAATATGATTTAATTAATTACTAGAAAATATCTTTCCTTCTACATTTATTTTTTTTTTTTTTGCGTTAAAGCAACACACAGGTCAAAGCAACCTAATACTATACTGAAAAGCATGAAAGAAATGTGTTATTTTAACCTTGTCTACTGTTTCATTGTTTGGTAATTGCATAATGGAAAAATGGCCAGCATTATTCTAATAAAAATTAAACTAAATTTTCTCATGTTGAGTAAGTTAAATATAAGTTTGCCTAAGTTAAGGATAACATATGAAGAAAAAGCCAGGCCATATAATATTAGGAGCTTTGGTCACTGCCCTTACCTCAACTCTTGCAGCAGCCCAGGAGCCTTGAGCCACTACTCTCCCATTGGATAAGAAGCTGCATAAGGAAGAAGAAAGGCCATTCAGGGGCTTTCTGGCCCCATAATTCAACAACTGCCACCACCCCTACGGCCTACAGTAGTACTTTAATTGTTAGAGAGCAGAGGGTGGCCTGATTTATTATGACCTTCACTAAGTATTTTTTTTTTCTAACTTCACAGGGTTGTTTTGAAAATATACCTATTCCAAAAAAAAAAAAAAAAAAAAAAAAAAAACCAAAAAAAAAAAAAAGGCAAATCGCACAGTATTTATGACTAGGCTACAGGACTTTTGAGTATAACTGGTTGTCTTGTTTTTGACACAAGCAGATAAAAGTAATTATCTCTAGGTATGATTCAATCCATTTGCTTTATCATTTCCATGTGATTTTAAAAATTAGAATTTCCATAATTAAGTTCATTCAAAAGCACTCCACACAGGATAACAGCAGACACTTGGTCATGCTAAAAGCCATCATGGACTTTGGATTGTTACTTTAACTCTTTGGGTTTCAGTTTCATTATCTAAAAATAAGGGATTAGAGAAGACATGTAAGTTTCCTCCTATGTCTAACATACCTTGGTAATAATACTGGAAACATATTATTATAATGCTGTCATATAAGTTCTACCATAAAATAAAATGACTTTTTAATACTAAACTACAGTAAGTATCCACAAGGCAAGCAATATTATACTACCTAAATAATTCTAACAGCACTTCATTTCTCAGAAAAACTTTTTAATACTCACTTGAGGGTCCTCATCTTTCAACGTATGCTGTGGCATCTGCTCGGTATCAGATATTTCATCTGAAGACTCATTCTTTCTTTTTTGTTTCTTACCCAATGTAATAATGAGTTTGCTGTTTCAGAAGGAAAGAGTAAACAGTAAGAACTATGCATTTTTCCATATTTGGGTCAAACTAAAACAGCCATGATAAACTTTCACCCACTTCATAAAGTTACTTGAATGTCCAACCAACAGTTATCATGAAATTTATAATATTTTTAAAATACAAACTATTCTAATGGCATGAAGATAAACTAATACTACTGCTAATGTACTTCTAAGCATAGACAGGCAGCCAAGTCAGACCACTTGTCACGGAGCCTCAAAGTGACTTTTTGTGAGAAAAATGCCAGGTGATGTATTTAATAATAAAAATAATTCATTTATTTTATTATAAGAGATTTAGAATAAGGGAATTCTTTTCCTTCTACCTCTTGTTAAGTTCAAATTCCACTTACTGTTCTTGAATCACCTCTGTTCCCTAAAGGCTTCTACTTCTTTCTACTCTAGAGCAATTTCTTCTTACTTAAACTATTTAATAATTAATTGCTCTTTAATTATTTCAGTTATGTTAAGGCTTATCTTTGTTGTACTATATATTTCTAAAGAGTAAGAATTATTATTTTTTATTTGCCACAGTGTGTAGATACAGCAGATGTCTTCATGTACACATATACAAGTTTCCTCCAAAAGCAGAACATTTCTATGAAAGCTTTTAAAGCAGAAATGGCATAAATAGAAGCAACAATTACCATTAATTTATATGGAAAAATTTTTGAGCATTCCCAGACCCACAAATAATCTACCAAATCATAACAAATAACACATAAAACCTAAGATAACACTAATATATATTGTTCAGACACAGTTCAAAGCTCTGGTGTTTTGATGTTAAGTGTAGTTCCCAGGGATAGAGCTTGGTGACACCACTCTTGCTGCTCAGGGAGTATGCTGCCACTTTAACAGCTTGCTGCAAAACAAACGCTAAATGCTGGTTTCATTGTTCACCTATTTTCGTAAAGTGAAAATTGCCCTGGATTTCTTTTGGTTAGTGAAAACAGGTACTAATGTGGTGTTGCTGTCTTATGCCACCGAGCCAGCTCCAGCTTTTAGCAATCCTATGTACAACGGCAGGTCTTTCATAAAATGAAGTGGTGTGAACTGAACTTTTGAAAAGTAGGGGATGACTGTATTAACATACATCAAGTACAAGTATTTTAAATGACAATGATTTTTGTTTTTATTCCTCATCTGAGTAGAAGTACAGAGCCCCCACATTTCTTTATCAGCTATAAGAAGTGCAGGGAAATGATTTTAAAGCATAATACCAATTATAAACCATAATAATTACTAATCAGCAAAATTCTATTTTAGATACATACATTCCCAAAACAGAAAACTCCCCAACTCCACAAATACTTCCTATATCAAATACTTATCCATTCTTTCAATAATCAAATATATGGGATAAGGTGGAGGTTAGAAGTATGTGCTTTGAAATCACAGGGTCAACAATTTAAACTCTGGCTCTATCATTTAAC